TCCTCAAAGGAGAAGGTGAGGCGACAACTTCAGAAGAGCGATGAGAAGCGTCGCTGATGCCACCAAGAGATGGCCACCAGCGGCCACCTTTGCTGCAAGAACCGAAAGCTGAACCTTCTCTCAGTCAGAGAAGCAGTCGTTTATCGGGACCACCCATGAGGACACGATCTGCCTGCGCCCACACACTAATGTTGAGCTCCAACTTCGAATCCCAACCGGATTTGCAAAATCCAAGTCGGAGAACGAATTGGAACCCCCCTTTCCCCCCCCCCATAATTGCAAACTCCGAGGCGGCCAAGCGGATGTAACAATCAGGGACGTGGTGGAGCAACTTTTTGCTACCATAAGTACCTGTACTCCTAATTACTACCACTCCCACTCCCTGCTACTGCTACCGCCCCAATGCGAGCCTAATCACGGTATTTACAGTAAGGGGGTGCATCCTTTGGGGGGAGGAAGGGTGTCTAAACATGAAATGAACATTACCCGGGTCTACCCCTACATCCTTCTCTGCATTCCAGGTTGCCTGGTACACCGCGAAAAGCAGCAAAGCGCAAAGGCAGAGCCAGGCCCAGAACTTGGAGACGCTCAGTGCCAACCCATAAATCGTGTCCCCATGCCTTCCCTTGTAGCTCCAACCTTGGTGCGTTCACTGCGGCAGAAGCCATATTGGGGAATATGCTGACCTTAACCAAAGGCTGCGGTGACCATCATCATCATCATCATCATCATCGTCATCAACTGCATCATCATCAGTCTCAAAGCCCAGACCTGGGTTACGTACAGTAGTCATGGTTATGCATCGGTTGCCACAGCCGGGCACAGGCATGTAAGGTACTTTTACTGTGTGGATGACGCAACACAAGTCTGGATTTGGACGGGGCTCAGGCCTCAATCCAGCTGGAGGGCTTGCTTCGCTACTCACCTAGCCGCCCGTCGGCATCCTTGCTTCCTAGAGGCCAATGTGGTCCTCGCAATGGGTACACACGAGAACCCGATGGGCATGGCCCTCAAACCAGCTGTTTTCCAGCATCGCCTCGGGGCCTGACAGGGAGGACCAGAATAGCAAGGTATCTTCTGGCCTAAAGCGAGGGTGGCAAAGGGCCCACCAACCACACTACGGCGGTGCCGGTGCCTATTTCCGAGGCGGCTCTGGCAACAATCTTCTCCACCAAGACCAGCTCGAAGCGGCGAGGGAAGGGATTGATGACGAAGGATTGGCCTTCGATTCGTGAACCAGGACTGATGAAAATAGTACAGTGGGGCATGCCCCAGGCGATGGCTCGGTCTTGCCCTCCAGCCATACTCTGCTGCCAAGGCACAGGTGGAAAATTGCAGAGTTGTTTTGCCGGCAACTTCGCAGCTGCGAGCCGTGATGCCCGAGCAGGGCACCACGCGTGAATCAGATGCTGGCAGCAAGGATGCCGCCTGAAGCTCGGGGACTATCGGCTGAAAGTGTCGCTTTCTCAGCATGAGCGAAGAGGCGATGATTACGATGTATGCGCGGCTCAAAAGTTGCAGGGATAGGACCCACCGATCGAGCCTGTGCTCGCACCGACTGAAGGAGTGATGCAGAACACCTACCGTGTACCGGACGCCTACCGTCCTTGCTGCACTGATCGAAGGATCAAACCCGCAGGTTTCTCAGTTCCTGAGATTACACCGCACTCCTCAGCAAGCTCTTGGCCGCAGGTGGAGCAGCGGTAGGAGGCGCCCACGAGCTCCGCAGGCATGACGCTAGGCCCCTAGGCTCTCGGTCTATGCAAACGGGATGGAGATATTTCAACAGGCTTCGGGTAGTGTGTATGTTTTGGATGCTCCATCAAGGTCTGGGCCGGGGGGGCCAAAGGGCCAAAACCTTGTAAGGCATTGCCGTACGCCGCATGTTTGTTGGATCTTGATACCTGCCAACGCAATGTGCGGAGTGCGGAGTTGCACGAGTCTTCCAACACATGATATTGATGCCTTGCTGATCATGTCGTTTCTGCAGAGTTCCCGATCTGCTTCTTCCAGCTTTGAGCAGCGCAAGAGTCCACAACGATGCCATTGCGGCAATGTCTCATCCAGCATGTTCTTCCTAAAGGCAAGTCCAGACTCGAGACTCTTCCAATCCAGATCTTGCCTGGATTTGTTTCAACGCTTGCAGGAGGGAGTCGAAACAACCGGGAAGCTGCAGCTTTGGCAGTGGCAATCGCTACCTACGACACCGCACATTGGCCTCTCTTGGCAAAGCAGCATCTGCCGCAGCATCATGCCGCGTATGAAGCTTCTTCCAACAGCTCGAACTTGTTCAGGGAACCCAGCTGCAAACTCTTTCGACAGGCGATCAGCCACATCAAACACTCAGCGATAGCGACGCTGCAAGTCTTCGGCAATCCAGTCGGCCTCGGGATTTGCCCAGCTTGCCAACATGAATGCTTCCACGGAGTTCCGAGAATTGCCAGGGATCGCGCGGGATCCTCCTGGTCATCTTCTCGCATGAAGTCGACCAGGTAGTCAGGCGTCCAGGATCCTTGGATGCGAGCTGCTGGATCTCCCGACAATAGTGATCCGACAAGAACCATATCTGGAGTGCTGGGAGAGTCTCCACTTGTCCACTGGTCTCGCTGCAGAGTTTCCAGCGAATCCTTCACAAGACTATATAAGGTGTGGCAGTATTTGGTATCATACACTTAACAACCATCCATACCGATTAAGCTGCAGTCCTGAACACTTACCGGTGACACTTGCATGATGCGGAAAGCATGCCACAGCTTGGAGGACTCTCGGCTCCACAGGATCAGCGGAAAGGATGGGCCAGGGCCAAGTATTGGGAATGCTTAGGCACAGCGGAGAACTTGGAGGCATGGCGCCTCTTTTCTTCGGCGGACGCAGCGGACAGGGGCCACGGGGACCTCGGCAAGAAAGCAGAAACTCGAATGTCTGTGCAGGGTCTCTCATTTCCTCAGTTGACACAGTTCTTCCTCAATAAAGGGAGAAGGCTCGAGGCAGAATCGAATACACACCCGACCACATTGATTCGAACTATCTTGAGTCGAACACGCCGCTTGAAAGGTATCGCAATCGGCTGACATGTTGTACGCTGACGCACTATAAAACTCAGCGTGAGGTCTGACTCATTATTCAGGGACCTTAAAACGAACTCTCTAGAGTTCAGCGTTCCGTCAGCAAATGCCTGATCGATGGGCAATCGGCAGAACATCCTGTGCCCCCCCCAAGGCTCAATTCGCGAGTGAGTGGGACAAGTCTCGATGACTCGAGCTCACTCGACAAATTGACGGCTTTGGGGCATGCCGAGATTAGACTGGCCAATCGATCAATCAAGGTCCTTACACACGCACCACTTGCCCCTATTTGTTGAAGTTAGAAATCAACAATGCAACTATGCCGGCCATAGAATGCTGCGGAACAAGTTGGACACCGTCATTCACGTTAACTCATACATGACACATCACGACCACACCAAAAGGTCGTGGTGCATGAAGTATTTGGCGAAACTTTGGGCTGGGCCAACCGAATGGCTGCGTGTTTCTGAAGCAGAGATGCCAATGCAGGGTTAGCACACGATTGTTCGCACCGCATTCAGAGAATCCCTGCTCCGTGTTTCCGTCAGAGACGCGGCTGCTGACAGGCTCAACCCTCTTGTCTTAAAGGGGTTACACTGCTGCTAGCGTCGTTCCTGTCATCGTCGAAGTGTACTGTGCAAAAGTGTTCTCCGTGTAACTATACTTCAAGTTCCAAATCTCTGATCAAGCAAAGTGTTTATGATGACCCCCTTTATTCGAAAAGGGGTCTGCAGCGCATCGGGACTGCAATCATAGCGTTAAAACTGGCAACACAAAATGCCAGTACGACCATTCCGCTACTCTGCGAAGTTTCGTCCATCCTTGCCGTGGCCGTCGGCACTAGCATGTGCGATGAGGCAAGAACAACAAACGTCAGCAAATGCCTCTATTCTAATAACTATCCGCCGACCCCGTTGGGGCGGCGCCCAGAAGTTAGATGTG